ATGCTGCCGTTATACCCTTCAGTGTTCCACTGCTGCACATACTACCCAAGGTCATAGTCTTCCCACTTCTCTCCAGGGTACACATACCTCCCTCTGTCATACCTTCCAGCAATGCTCTCCTTCACATATTGTCCTCTGTCATACTCTTCACACCCTTCTCTTTCACATACTGCCCTCTGTCATACTCTTCGCACTCCTCTCTTTCACGTACTGGCCTCTGTCATACTTTTTACACCCCATTCTTTCACATACTGCCCTCTGTTATACTCTTCGCACCCCTCTCTTGCACATACTGCCCTCTGTCATACTCTTCGCACTCCTCGCTTTCACGTACTGGCCTCTGTCATACTCTTCGCACCACTCTCTTTCACATACTGCCCTCTGTCATACTCTTCGCTCCCCTCTCTTGCACATACTGCCCTCTGTCATACTTTTTGCACCTGTCTCTTTCACATACTGCCCTCTGTCATACTCTTTGCACTCCTCTCCATCACATAATACTAATCACTATACCCTCAGCCACTCCTCTCTTACACAAACTGACATCTGTCATAGGGGTCTATTCACGAAGCAGCCGAAGGATCTAGCCATAGCTTTGGCCGGTCCTTCGGCTAGCTTCGGCCCCAGGACTCCTTCGGTTCAGTAGAACTGAAGGGCTGCTGTACGGGCTATTCACTATAGCTCCACACATACTGCCCACTGCCATACCCTCCGTATACCTATACTTACCACCATGCACTCCACATGTCTTTCCAACACATACTGCCGCCTTCATACCCACTGCTCTCATCTCCTGCACATAATGCCCACTGTCATACTCTTTATATTCCCCTTCCTGCACATAATGCTGCCGTTATACCCTTCAGTGTTCCACTGCTGCACATACTACCCAAGGTCATAGTCTTCCCACTTCTCTCCAGGGTACACATACCTCCCTCTGTCATACCTTCCAGCAATGCTCTCCTTCACATATTGTCCTCTGTCATACTCTTCACACCCTTCTCTTTCACATACTGCCCTCTGTCATACTCTTCGCACTCCTCTCTTTCACGTACTGGCCTCTGTCATACTTTTTACACCCCATTCTTTCACATACTGCCCTCTGTTATACTCTTCGCACCCCTCTCTTGCACATACTGCCCTCTGTCATACTCTTCGCACTCCTCGCTTTCACGTACTGGCCTCTGTCATACTCTTCGCACCACTCTCTTTCACATACTGCCCTCTGTCATACTCTTCGCTCCCCTCTCTTGCACATACTGCCCTCTGTCATACTTTTTGCACCTGTCTCTTTCACATACTGCCCTCTGTCATACTCTTTGCACTCCTCTCCATCACATAATACTAATCACTATACCCTCAGCCACTCCTCTCTTACACAAACTGACATCTGTCATAGGGGTCTATTCACGAAGCAGCCGAAGGATCTAGCCATAGCTTTGGCCGGTCCTTCGGCTAGCTTCGGCCCCAGGACTCCTTCGGTTCAGTAGAACTGAAGGGCTGCTGTACGGGCTATTCACTATAGCCCGTACAGCTCCCGAACTTGGCCGAGCGGCTCAGCCGAGCCAAAGGCATATGCTGAGCCGTGCTGAAAGCCAAAGCTGGCTGAGCCAACAACTTGCTTCTGACAGCTGGGTGGAGCCAGCCGTGATCTTACGGGTGGCTCAGGCCACTTGCAGAGAGATCAGCGTCCCTGGTTACCAGCTAACCAGGGACACTGATCTCCAGACAGCCTAACTGTCATATTCTTCACACCACTCTCCTTCTCTTTCACATACTGCCCTCTGTCATACTCTTTGCACCTCTATCTTTCACATACTGCCCTCTGTCATACTCTTTGCACCCCTCTCAATCACATACTGCCCTCTGTCATACTCTTCGCACCCCTCTCTTTCATATACTGCCCTCTGTTGTACTTTTTGCACCTGTCTCTTTCACATACTGCCCTCTGTCATACTTTTCTCACCCTTCTCTTTCACATACTGCCCTCTGTCATACTCTTTGCACTCCTCTCCTGCACATAATACTAATCACTATACCCTCAGCCACTCCTCTCTTACACAAACTGACATCTGTCATAGTCTTTACATTTTGTCACATAAACTTCTACTGGTCTTTATTACAGGAAGCTCCTACACAGAGGCAAAATGTCACACTGGATCACTGCATAGATCTGGAAGAAATACACAATGCACACCTAGATGTCAATTTATACATCACAAAACCCTTCAGCCTACGAATGTCTCTTAATCTTTGTTTTGGATGAATGATGCCAAAAACAAATGTTTTTAATATGATCTTTTTTCCCAGTTGGAATGTAGCGTATTGTAATATTACATTATGGCCCCTAGGTGGCACTAAGAAGCACAGGAAATAAATGTGTATTTTCTTATGCTCCTAGGCGCTATCTAGTGGCTATAATGTATTATTACAACACTACATTCCAACTGCGAAAAACAATATATATAGACAATGAATACAGAATTCAGGAGCCAGTCTGTCCAACCCAGGAGTCAGCAGGATTTTTTTTTTAGGAGTCAGCTCCATTGACAGCAGCTAGAGGAAATCTCAAAAGTTTAGGTGCCAGATGTCATTTATAGGGAGCATTGGCTACTTGGCTCCTGAGATTTATCCAGCCCTGCTTTAACAGTTGGGAGCTGAACTGCTCCTGGAGGTAATGGTAAAACTTTCAGCTTCCTCTGCTCAAACTGTGCATTTGCTTTAAAATGGCACTGCAGACCAGTAAGGTCCTAGTAGTACTGCCTGCATATAGCACATAGTCTCTCCATATGGCTGCCTGTCTTATGGGAATCTCTACAACAGGTCATTATAACAACTGTGGCATAGGAGGCAGGCGGCTCTAGAATGTACGGTATGCTTTGACGTTCAAGCATTATTTTACTACAGGTACTTCGATCATACCTATATCTTCAGCAACATCTATGAGCCAAACACAGTACCTCACAATTATGGTTATAAAGGAGGATTAAATTACTCACTGCTATTCATATTTAATGTGGGCTTGTTTATAACTATTGCATGCTTGCCTCTCTTTCAGAGATATAAACCATTTAGCTCTACCAGGTTCAACCACTGCTTCTAGTGGACACGTCAGTATTATAAACTGCTGATGCAGTGGGGTCAGCTACAAGAGATCATATGTGGTACCCAATAAGCAGTATTTAGGCCAATGGGAAGGGAGACCACCAGTTGACCAACTGTTTAGAAAAGGTAAAGTTCTTCCTCATTATTAGGGCCTACTACATAATCCCCAATGATTTAAAGTCCATTCATTCCACCCATGTTCAAAGAATGATGGCAAATGTTTAAGTAGTCCTAAAATAGCCAACAGCTTTAAAGTGATGGAGGACAGACACAGGGAGGCTTATTTTCTAAGTGAACTTAAGATTCAGTTTTTAACTTTGTATCTCACGTTATCTCATATTATATTCTGTAAACTAGGTCATTATCAAATACATTTGTCAAATACATTTTGTCTCTGATCCACTACTGTCCATCTACCTATTACATTGCCTGCCCCCGTTTTCTTATTTGAAAGCCTGTCATACATAGTTATATAATATTCTGCTTAATACACAGTTAAAGACTATAAAAAGCAATTACAATTAGTAAACATGTCATCCTCTCTCCAACATATAGTGCTATGAAGACAAGCAGCAACAATGTGATGTAAATCATCCCAATCAATCATTAAAGAAACATTTTGTCGTAGAAAAAAGGTTTGGATTGGAAGTTACTGCTAGGAGTTTTCACATTTTCATAATGCAACTGCCCATGTACATTGTCTGTACAATATATTCATGAGTGATGAAGTAGCACCCAGAACAATCAGTATTGTGATACTTAAAATGTTTTACAGCTTTTGTCTAATTAATATGGTGTTAAAGACACTTTTGGTTCCACTGTTTTTATGTGTTTTGGCCAATGTATAAGCACAATGGAAACACAGGAACTATTGTGAATTTGAAATCAATTTGCAAATGTACACTAGTGCATGTCTGCTAAATGATGCTAGTACTGAACTGTTGTCCTTTGTGAACGGTGTGAAATATACAGCCCCATTCCTTGAACTATCCTGTGAATACACCTCTTAAAGTGCATCTATAGGCAAAACTTTTGTTCATACACTTTAAGCACTCATATGTAGAAGTTTAGAATTCTGATTTATTTTTACTGTCTATGGTATTGTCAATACCTTTGCCAATGTGTTATGAAAAACTTACAGAAACTGTGTTAATCACTGACATGCACGACAAAATGGAATCAAACAGCTTTTCTAGCAGGAATGGGGTTATACTGTAACTTGGTTGTCCCTTCAGTGTTAAATGTTTTAAGACTTCCTTACGAACATCCATGTCAACCGTCCTGCTGCTCCGCTAACCTTGAAACTGTTTAAAACTAGCCTATTCACCAGCTACTCCCTACATGTCTCTCATCATTTCTAATCTCTTCTTTCCATGTCACCAACTCTGCCGGTCTGTTACATGCTCCCTAACCTGCCGTTATCTCCCCTCTTTCTAATGACCAATGCTGCTCCTAGGGAGAAACTGTGAGTTTTACTGTAAATGAACGCCAGGCTCTTTTTCTAAATGCACGACTGCTCTAAATCCTACCAAAGATTTAGAGCTTGCTGCAGCTGTTTGGGTACTTGCACTAAGTGGGAGGCCATAACGTGGTAAACCAATTAAATAAATAGCCCCCTTTTGTATATTATGGCTCCATTCTGTATATTGTTTTGCTGGTTCAGATTCTGGACAAGCATCCAAGGGTGGATTATTACATTGGACAATGTATTTACTATTAAAGCAAATTACCTTTACAAATAAGGTAGGAGGCAGAATATAATTATGCAACTATAGTTATGCAGTATAAATGTCTCTTTAACAGCCTGGAAATGGAAAAACTAAAATCCATCCAAATGCATCAACAGAGGTTACCTTTAGTGAAAACTGTATGTCAAAATAATAAGTAAATCCAGAGATATAGGCATCTAAACGTATAAAGTATACAGATCTTGACTTTCCCCATGTAAGTTAAGTATGGCTGGTCCCCACTCTCCGAGGTTTTCCTGTTTTAGGTCAAGGAGGCTGCCCATCACTTGGGAGCCTCGGGAGGTTACAGGGCCAGCTTGACTTCTAAGCAAAAAGTTGAGATAATAATTCAACTAGTAGAATTATTATTAGGCTATGGACATTAAAAGATTGATATATTCTTCACATATGGTAAATTACCTTTAAAGCAAGCCCTTATTGACCTATGTAGCTACAGACACTGTGGAGTAATTTATCCTTAATTTTTTGGAATGATACAGTGAAGTTGTTTAAGTCAGATCCCTGCACTCTGCTTTCCCCCTGTTACTGTGCACATGTTCTGTGTTTACATTAGGGATTAACAGGCTGGCAGGGGTAACAGAGTGAGCTACTAAAATGAAAGTGTTTCTGCTGCAAACCCTGAGGATGAATTGCTCCACAGTGGCTGTAGCTACAGAGGTCAGAATATGTAAAAATTTGAATGTCAACGGTAATACTTTAAATAATCTGTTCCATTCTTCTCTCCTGCTGATCATTTTGACATATGGTTTTCACTGAAGGTAACCTCTGCTTAAAGAGTTAGTTCACCTTTCTGCACATTTTCCAAAATGTCCCTCATGCGTTCCATCTTCCTAGCATATTGCAAAGCAAAGTTCACTTGTTAAAAAAGCTGTCCCTTTCCCATTGCATACTTTTAGGTCATGCATGGCTGGTCTTTAAAAACCTCTAGGTGATTGCCGCCCCTCAATCCTGGATAAACAGCAGGACCGGGCAGTTGTTAATAGCGCACCCCCAGTGTCCACTCCTGGCTTGTTTAAACTGCCCCCACTCGCAGTTCTCTCTCTCTCTCTCTTTCTCTAGCGGCAGTGGCTTAGCTAGAGGGAGAAAGAGCGCACTACACATGGGCGCAAGCCTATCCTGACATTTTGCCAGGACAGAGGGGGTCAAACGCCTAGAGGCTTTTGCAGACAGGCCATGCAGGACCTACAGGTATGCATTGGGAAAGAGGCAGCCTTTTTAACATCTGAGCAGTGCTTTGCCATGTGCTGGGGATGACGAATAGCACTGGGAATTGGAACATGTGCAGAAAGGTGAAATAACCTTTTAAGCAGTTTTTCCCTTATATCCTCAGGCTGACTTGCCCAGGGTTGTGACATGCTTAAGAACAACTGTTGCCAGATGCATGTGTTTTTTCAAACTGCTTCTGGCTATGACTAAAGCTTTTTTTCCACATGATTCTGTGCTGTGCAACCTTCCTTTTATCTTTTGTTGTGTGTGTGTTTGAGCCTACAGTGGACTCAGAGGGGGTGATAGTTCAAACCCGGAAATTCTTAGCCAAAGTTTTTCCAGGCTCATATATAAGGCAGTTCAGAAAATAACGATACCATAACTGGATTTAGCCAGGGGGTCAGCCAGACGAACAAGATGAATGCAAAGGTGAAAAGCATAAACTCACTGCAGGTAGGCACTGTTAATTTAGTGTGAATGCAGTATGTATGACCGTACCCTTATATGTTTTTTAGTTTAATGATCTTTAATTACATTATAATTCCAAGATTTTTCTTAAATCACCTTAATGGTACAGCAACCTTATGGAGTACTTACTATTCAAAAGTTAGGATGGTAAAGATTTTGCCTAAGACGGAAACATCATTCTGTCTAGAGGGTAGCATTTTTTCAGCTCCTAGAGCTAGGCTGCATTATGCTCCCTCACCACGTACAGTACTCGCAGTATACTGGCGAATAATGGTAGAATAGAGAATAAGCAGTAATGTTTTTCTCAGGGCTCTAAATTGCATAAGATAGGCATAGGAACAGAAATGACGAACCAACACTTTGATTCCCTATAATAGAGACACAGTTCTTGCTTTGAATCCCAACATCTGCCTCTATTTTCTTCATAACTTTCTATCTTATAGGTCTAAGGCTGTATTGAAAAGCTGGGCTGTCAAAACTCTTACATACCTCCTATTCACTAGCTACACAATACTGGTGTTTACTGTGTGCAACTTTAGGGTCCTGGGCATGTTTCTCATCAATATTAATGATTATGTCCTCTCAAAGTCTGGTCGGGTTTCCTCCAGGTGCCATGGGCCTCTCTAATAAGACTTAATGCTGGGTTTTTCAGCTTTCATCCAAAACTGACCGTACACTCCTGCATGTGTATGACCATGGGACAGTGAGTGATTCAGTGAAAAATTTCAGTTCTGTTAAATATATATATTATATATATTTATATTAGATAGATATACAATAAGGTTATGACAAGTGATGGCAAAAGTTGGGTAAAGAGAGTAGCTTGACCATGCTAACGTTTACTGTGGCTTCTCATATGAAATCCTAGAAAAATTCTTATAGCAAGAAGACAAAAGCCTGGCTACCCAGTAGCTATCTGACTGTGTTATGGTCAAGCATGCAGGCTGCCGGGCGAATCAGTTTTTCTAAGCAGGAGTCAGATTTCTTTCACATTGAGCCATCTGTCATCTCTCACACAAAAGGAACCAATGAGAGTTGCAGGGGACACAGGAGATCAACACTCCTGGAACTGTTGGTTCTCTGCGAACTTCAATAGAAGTTTTCTCAGGACTAAAACAGTGTCCGTCAACTCCAGCAGCAGAAGAGATCAGTATGGCTTGCTGCAAATACTTTTCTATAGCAACAGGGTTCGCTTTAAAGAAGAGCTTCATGAAAACACTTGGAGACAACTAAACAGCCAGCAATTGTTAAGACAATAAACACAATGGTCAGGAGTGTGTGATGAACAGCACAGCTTACAGAGTGCCGAGTTTAGAAGTTTGTAATGCACAATATAGCCTTTGGAAAAAATTTCTTAGCATCAATAGTCAGTGGGAAGTAGAAAATGTCCCAGCATCTGTAGTCGGTGGAAGAAAAAAGCTCTTGCATTGGTGGTCAGTGGGAGAAAATAATACCCAGACATCAGTGAGAGGAATAAAATGTCCCAGCATCTGTGGTCATTTGGAGATTAAAAAATACTTTGGCATCAGTGGACACTAGGAGAAAAAGGCCCTGTTGTCAGTGGTCAGTATGTGGAAGAAGTTCTTAATAGTGTGACAATAGTGTGACAATATGCCCTGGTATTTGTGGTAAGTAGAAGGAAGACAGATAATTACTCCATATCACAGTACTGGCTTAGAATTGGTGCCAGGTGCCAGTTCCAGCACCCTGCGTCAGGACATGGCCTGGATCCCTGTTTTGTTGAAAATCCCGGGACAGTTTTGTGGGATAGGCGAGGAAAATGATTATTGGCTTCTGAGGCCAGAGGTACTGCAGGTAGGGCAACAGGGTCAAACCATGAGTAAACTAGAAATAATATTCTGTGCTAGAAAAGACAAGTAAAGGATGTCAGATAGGTACGGAACATTGAAAAAAAAATGTAAGAAAAAACAATTCCTTGTAGGTGCATTTAAAAATATGAGGATTTGCCTAAATTATCAGAACCAGAGTAATCACAGTGTTGTAATAAGAAAGACTGTCCTATCTTTATCCTTTTAGGTGTAGATAAAAAGATGTGTCAAAGTATATGTTAGAGGTAAATGGGAATCATAGGGAAAGTATTCAGCAATAAAGTGGTATGTGAACAAAGACTGAAAAGTGTAGAAATAAACTTCTCATAATATTCCACTGGAGTCACCTGTTCTGGTTATATTTAAAGCTGAAGTTAAATCTGCTTATATTTTGCCGTCCTTGGTTCCTCTTTCCCTCTCACCTCTTCATCAACATGCTAATGCAATTTTTAAATAAAACCTTTCCATTTTCATTACTGACCTTATTTTAGACCCAGTCACATGATCACTTCTCTATGCAATACAGGTAGGTCATCATGGCTGGGGGGAGGGTCGGTAGGGTGCTGTACATACATACATCAGAGGGTCTGAGGACACCAAAATGTCTCACAGTCATCTGTACGAGAGAGGAGGGGAGCCTTCTCTCTCCACCAAATGAAAACCCGTTTTGGCGATCGACAATATTCTGGTGAGTTAGCATTGCTAACTTCCGATTGTACAAATAAACATTGGTCCTAAACAGGATGAGGTGGGGTAAATTTAGATTGAGGGGGGTGCCCGTGTTTAGTCTTGCCTACGGCAGCACAAAACCAAAATACACCACTAAATAGCACCTCAGTAAAGTCTTGTCAGGATCTCTGAAGATGTTAAGTATCTTTAAATTAGATAAAAATGCATTCAGCATTATAATCCCCTGCTTTGAAATCCTTGTTAGCTGATTCTAATGCCATATTAGATCAAACTGTGTAAATCTGCACAACCACAAAGCCATTAAAGCACAAATGGATCCTGACAATACAAGAAAGTTTGATCCTGTTGAAAGTGCGTTTGAAAGATATGTGATTTGGGCACATCAAAAGCCATTGTTAGACACTTTTGTGACTGAGCTAAAGCTTGAAGACTGTAAATTCAAAGCAAACCTGTAACATTGCCCTGCAAAGCAAAATTCAGTCATGCTACATTGTGCCTTTACAGGTGTCACCCTCCTTCTGGATGTGTCACTGCAGTTCCACTGAAATACCCAAAGCTCTAGGTATGGCACAGATAGATGTGCTTCATCTTGCAATGCAGAGTTGTATGCTCTACCTATTGCTAGGCCCAAGCATTGTCACATCCGAGATCTGCCCAATACTAATCCCAGGACCGTCCCTATAATGAGGCAGCTGTTGCCTCAGGTGGCATCTTTTTCGGTTACTTGGTAGGGCGGCAGGCAGAGTGGCTGCACAATGTTTGCAGTGTCCCTTCTGCCACTCCCTTTTCAGCCAGAGCATCCCCGGTTGCTAAGAGCCAGGTGGGGAGATGTGTAAGGGCCATATACATCTACCTGCCCAGCTCTTAGTAACCTGGGACGCTCTAGGCGTCCAGCACCTGGCAACCAGTGACGTCAGTTCACTTTAAGCCTGATGAAGGGTACCCTGTGTGGCCCTGAAAGCGCTTGATTCTACTCTGAGTGACTGCTGACAAATAAAACATGAAGATTCACTGAAATTTACGTGTTTGTCATGCTGGTGTGCTGGTGACATCTCTTTACAACAAACTTTGCTTGATGCGGCGCCATCCGCAGTCACTGCGAGCACCCACCTCTGCTTATGGGAATTCCGGTAAGTTGTGCTACAGGACATTAGTCAGCTGGGTAAGACGCCAGCCAGAGCCAGAGGCAGAGCTGGTGGACAGTGAGATGATCCACCTCCCCTGTCCACAGCCTCCCCTGGTAAAATGAATGTTTTGGCTTTGGGTGCACTTTAATGTAGGCATTTCATGTAGGCATTCCACACTTTAAGCAAGAAGTGAGGATGATAACATATTGACTTTGTATTTCTAGGGAGATCAGATAAACAGAGCAAAAAGTTGGCCAAAAAAAGTCTTTATAGTCACCTGACATATCTGAACTATTGTGTCAAATTTTAGCCATAGATATCCTTGATTTCAGGGAGAATGCATTCTTGCCGATTGCGGACTATTTTCCCAAAAGTGCCTAATCTCCCATATAAAGCCACCCATGCCATACTTGCCAATCTTAACTTTGTATTTGAAGAGCATGATAGTCAAAGGAAGAATCAGACAAGACACAGTTCTCCAGCAAAACACTACATTGCTCTTGCACTGCAGCAAGCATCTAAAGATGGCCTGTACTGTGGAAGTTTTACCCAAAAAGACAAGCAGAGTACAAGTCCACACTACTGTCTGTGGGCCCTCTGCAGTTGATCTTTTCCCCATTTCTGACTGTGTCTCTGTGTGGAGGTGGCCATTCTGGTAAAGGCAGGGATTTGCTTCTTCATGTCACAGCTGCACTTCTGATGACTGGTGGGAAAACTCTCAAGAAGCAGCAGGAGAAGTGGGAAAGCATAGGTCCACAGAAAGAATGATAAAAGCAGGGATATCCTTGCAGTGCAAGGACTTCAGGTACATCTTCAGCAAGGAGAACAATGAGCAGCATGCATTAGCTTTTCAGTCGCAGGCAACAGTGCCTTGGAACTCACATTGCAAATATACAGCTATGAGGCTCAAGGCTTTAGATAGGCAGAGCCAGCTGTCACTCACGCAGCTGGGCGGATCCAGACATAATTGTCGGGATCCGTTTCAGCTGCTGCATCTCAGTATACCGCGAGCTGTACTGAGCTTAGGGTGACGTGAGGACGCTAGTTTGTATCCTCCCGTTACCCTTAGGAGAACTATGGGGAAAAGCCCTAACCCCATAGTTCTCCTTTAACTTTTTCAGCAATTTGAACTACAGTAGCTCTTCTATTGGGATGGACTACATGGGCCAGTCTTCGCTCTCCATGTGCATCAATGAGCCTTGGCCACCCATGTCCCTGTTGCCAGTTCACTGGTTTTCCTTCCTTGACCGACTTTTGGCAGGTCCTGACCACTGCAGACTGGGAACAAGTGCTGTAGTTTTGGAGTTGCTCTGACCCAGTACTGTATCCATCACAATTTGGTCCTTTTCATTTACGATCTGCTTGATTCCCGAAACATTAGGGAGACAGTGCACAGAGTAGCTGAAGGTGGTAAAGCAGTTGCTAAGGAACATAGCTCTGGCAGGTGCACTAACGACTGACTGAACTGGTACCCGTTTAATGAATGGTAAGTCATTTGGTAAAGAATAACAATAGTCCAGGCAGGATATGATTAGTGCATGGATTAACTACCTCCCGGCCAGCCGCTGTGTATACACGGCCTGCCGGGAGCTTCTTGGATGTAACTGGGCGTGTATACACGTCCTGTTACATCCTCATCAATCACTGATAACACTAAACTGATGAGCGGTAAAAGCTTTTAAAGCGTCGCCTATGGCCAATTTTGGGTATGCTAGTTTTTTGCGATTTTGCGAGTGCGCGCAATTTTTACGCTTGACATGTTTGGTGTCTATTTACCCGACGTGACCCCAACTTTTATATTTTACCAAAAAGTGGGTAATATTAGTTGTTTTATAGCATAATGTAAAAAAAAACTTTTTTTTTCTCAAAATTTTCAGTAATTTCTCCTGAATATAGTAAAAAATAAAACCCGCAGTGGTGATTAAATACCACCAAAAGAAAGCTCTATCTGTCCCCAAAAAATGGTATAAAATTCATTTCAGTACAGCGTTGCGTGACGGAATAAATGTCAGTCAAAGTACCGCAGCGCTGAACACTGAAAAATGGCCTGGCCAGGTAGGGGATCTAAACACCTGGTCTTCAAGCAGTTAAGGTAGGGTGAATTCGAGACATGTTCTTCAGTTGAAAGCTCCTTTTAACAGAGCTTTTATTTTATTACTAAGTATAAAGCAGAATCAAAGGTGACCCCTATGTAATTGGCTTCTCATAAGGGATTAACATTCGCATCATTCACTGAGTAAGCGATTTGAGGTATACAGTAGACAGTGTAGAAGAGTAGAAGTACTATTACACAATGGTATTTCTATAAAGGTTTAGTTTATGGCATCGGGACACCATTAAGAGAGAGGAATACATTTTAAATGTAAACCTTTTCTTTTTATATAAAGCTTTACTAACCTTATAGCTTGTCATACTAACAGTTCCAGTTGCTATGTGACATGCCCTGACATCCCCATTAAAAGCAGGCTGCTTTAAATTTCATTGTGCTTGGCTGCACTGGATCTACAAATAGTTTGCGGTGTTTATTTTCTATAATCATCCTTCATTGTAAGTGTGGCGTTTTCAATGAGGCCTTGCTACAGAGCCTTATTTCTCTAGCTCATTATATTGTCTGTATTCTGTTCCATACTGCTCAGACCTAGTTATAATGTCTGCAGGCTGCAGTCATTTGAATCATTCTTACTGACTTGCCATATAAATAGGAATATGCTATTTTAGTCCTATATGTGTTACTTTATTTCCAGTTGCTTCTTTATTGGATTTTAAAAAAGAGAACTTGGCTTCTAGCGCCTTCCACCTTATCTGTCAGATTAAGCAGAATGTAGGCATGTACTATGTTTCTAACCAGTATCTCCCAGTGTCTGTGAAGCTGTCTAGAAATGGACTGACATCCCAGGTTGCTGCCCACCCCTGAATTGTGAGGCTGTCACTTTGACTCTGTCATACTGGTGCTTTGCAGTCAATAGCGTGACACTATCTTAGACCAGAGGCATTTAACCATACATGCAAGATAGACAAGCTTGTCTGCAAAATCACACCAGAGGATAACATTTGTGATTGCATAGTGTGGTTGAGGATATATATACTGTATAAATATTATGTTGCATTTCATTTAATACTTGACAGTAAGAATATTTGTCTTGCAGTATTTGTTTATGCCTGTAAAATCAGGAGACATTTAAAGGGATTTGTAGAGTAGCTCAACCCTGTTTTTAGCCCAACCCAAATGCCCATGGGCCAATTTCTCTCTGTGTCGTAAAAGCAAAGGCTGCATTGTAAACAAGGAACAAGAGGTGATGCTGTTATATCATGCAGAACACACATAAAAAAAATAGAAAATAAAAAAATATATATATATATATTTATTTCCTGGGGCCTAATGGCAGCACATGATGGGTTAAGCTTCTCCCCCCTTAACCCCATAGGACACGTGATTAATACATTTGGTCCCAGTAGCCAGGATGAATTATTTTTTCTGTCCTCACCATGGATTCGTGATTTTGAGGATGTCATTTTATTTTTTAACCCTTACTGGCCGTTTTCCTGCAGCTTTTCAGACAGGGTAAGTCTCCCCTGTGCTGAACAGACAATTATGGACACCAGCACTCCAATAGTAGAATAACGTCTGTTTCATGACGTCCGTGCAAAAACATACTTATTGCAACGTTTCAGGGTCACGCAAGATCCCCTTCATCAGGCAGAACAACCTGACGTCCGTGCAAAAACATACTTATTGCAACGTTTCGGGGTCACGCAGGATCCCCTTCATGAGGCAGAACAACCTGACGTCCGTGCAAAAACATACTTATTGCAACGTTTCGGGGTCACGCAGGGTCCCCTTCATCAAGCAGAACAAGGGTTTTTCTGCCTGATGAAGGGGATCCTGCGTGACCCCAAAACGTTGCAATAAGTATGTTTTTGCACGGACGTCATGAAACAGACGTTATTCTACTATTGGAGTGCCGGTGTCCATAATTGTCTGTACTAATTTGACGGTGGGCATCCGTTGACTACCGATGCACCCATCTCTTCACTATGGATCAGAGGTCAGGAGTGCAATGGGTACATGGACTATCCTCTGTGCTGAAGACCCTGCTCATATACTTTCAAACAAGGTATTCCCCAGGATATAGTCCCATGGGTGTCTGGGCATGGCGTATAGAGTAAATCTCTAGCTCTGTTGAATGGCATAGCATGTCTGGCATCCCTTTTATCTCCTCCTCACCTACTGTGTCTCTCTCTCATCTCCTGTGGCAGGCACTCCCTCCTAGGGCCATGCGCCCATCCTTGCCTCTTTCTTTTAGCTCAGATGGCTTGGCCCCTTTCTGGCATGATGCCTATGACACCACCAATATTCTGCGCATGCACCCATGGCCTGGAAGTATTTCTCTGGGAGGGGATGATTTGCTTCATCCCAGTTATCTATAAATTGAATCCTGGTGCTCCTGGCAGCCTCTGCCTGGGATTTTATGCTCCACGATTCCTCTCAGAGCCTTTTTTTCTACGTTTCTAGTAAGCCTCAATCTTATCTACCATTCATTTTCCCCTTTCTTTCATCATATTTCCTGCAATTCATTATGTTGTGTTTGTGCTCTCTCTAACCATGTCAGACAATGCTGCCGGAAAAGACACCGCTTTGCCTATAGGTAAGGGTACATTAAAGTGACATTAAAGTTAAAAAAAAAACGCGTTAAAAGAGTTTAATACTTACCTGTGTCTTCCCGCGCGCTCCTGTCCGAAAATGTGAAAATTCTCAGGCGGCCGCAAAGCATCTTGGTTCGGATTTTCGGCCGGGAGATGAGGAGAGACACAAGGTAAGTATATGGACGCGTGCACCCGCATGCAGACACCGTGGAACAGGAAGTACCAGCAAGGACAGAGGAGTCAGCGCTGGATCGGAGACCCGCAGCAGCGTTGGAGAGAAGGCTGAAAACTACAGGAAAGAAGATGAAGATCGGATTAATAGACATCATTTAAGGTAAGTACTTTCATTAACATTGGGGGGAGGGAAAAAACTGTTTGCCTTTAATGTCACTTTAAGACTTTTAAAAAGACCATGAGAGGTGAACTTCATAACAATGTTATGATCTTCGCAGCCCTCCTCACGAAGAAGAACCGGGATCTCATAGTTCCAGAAGATTGTCGATTTCATTCAAGAAGGAAAAACTGTTCTCAGCATAGAACCCATCGGTGAGACTCTTGCACATCGTCACCCAGATAAAAAAGCTTGCTGGGTCTGTGGTAGTCAAGCTTTAACTGATAAGCTAGTGTGTCAATCATGCCTAGCAGAAGCAACGCAAGATATCTCTCCTCCAAACCAGGATATGTTATCCTTTATCAAATAATCTGTAAAGGACTGCTTGAAAGAATTTAGTCAGGATAAGTTTTGTGATAAGCCATGCACATCTTATCAAGCATTAATAGACGCATCAAAGGTTAAGAACTTAGACCAATCAGTTAGCACAAAATCAACTTGCCTGGTGGATCCCTTTATTGCTGCTGTGAAGGAGGCTATCGAGTGGAAAGACCCAATAAAGGAGCTAGCTAAGGTTAGAAAATACTTTCCTCACCTTAAGAAGTCATCTGGAAATTTCCCATACATGGAGGAGATAAAAAATATTGGAATCAATTAGTGGAAACGCATTGAAAAGAAACCATGTTTAAACAGCCGCTTATCAAAATTATATCCACTAAAAGAAGACTAAATTACCAGCCTATCCTCTAGTGGATGCGGAAGTGATAAGATTAGCTCGCCATGTTACAATACTCTTGGAAGACGCTGTTTAATTCAAGGATCCTTTGGTTTGCAAGACTAATCTCGACCTTTAAAAGGGCCCATTTATCTTCACGAGGTGCATGTCGTCCAGCCATCGCTCTTACTTCTGTCGCGCGCTATTTCAGTCTGGACCAATAAAAAAGAAAGAGCTCTTAGATCGGTGTCAGCCCTTCAAGATCTTAGGCTAGTGGGCGATTTCCTGGGGGAAGCCACTATTGATGTGGTGCGTATTGGAAATGCAACAGTATATGCTGTTATGTCTTTTGAGCTGTAGATGGCGCAGTAGTGCAATGTTACCATCTATATATCCTAATTATAATAAAAAATAAAAACCCCAGTGGTGATTAAATACCACCGAAATAACGCCCTATCTGTCCCCAAAAAATGGTATAAAATTCATTTCAGTACAGCGTTGCATGACGGAATAAACGTCAGTCAAAGTATCGCAGCGCTGAACACTGAAAAATGGCCTGGCCAGGAAGGGGGTCTAAACACCTGGTCTTGAAGTGGTTAACTAGGATACAGAGGAAGTTTTCCTGTTGTGATGTTTGGGGAATTAGCTGGACCGCAGGACACAGGCTTTATCAAACAAACTGCATTTATTTTCCACAGCAGCAACATAAACAGTCCTTTCTGTCTTCAGTACAGCAAAACAACTTGAAGGATTGCTTTCTTCAGCATAGAAATGAAACACTTTACCTTTTGCTTTCTTCATCACAGAAAATAATAACAATAGCCTCAACGGCTTGGATGACTTCAGTCCACAAGGTTATCACACTCTTAACCTTAGAGTTTTCTCACAGCCCACAGCCTCCCAGTAAAGTTCAGCTGTTTGGATGACTTCAGTCCACAAGGTTATCACACTCTTAACCTTAGTCTGCTCCACAGCCCTCTCTCTCTCTCTCTCTCTCTCCACACTTCCTGCAGCAGGTGTTAACCCAACCACAACCCGAACAAAGGGCAATATACACCTCTCCCAGGGCCCATCTTCTGGCGTCCTGTACACTATGGGGGTTATTCACTGGAGCTTCAGCTCACTTTGGCCGCCTGAGCCCTTTGCTTCAGTCGAACCGAAGGGCTGCTGTATGGGCTATTTACTATATCCCGTACAGCAGCCGCAAAAACTTAATTCAGCATTTCTCAAGATCTCAGTGCTTTATCTAAACAGATAACCAGCAGTGCAACCATTCTTGAGAGCAATGCTAGCCACAATTAACACAAGGAGAGCGCTATGGCTAAAACCGTGGCAACAGATTCATCATCCAAATCAAACTGGTGTTGCATTCCCTACGATGGGGCAAATCTTTTTGGAGGACACTTGGATAATTCCTTTACAAAAGTAAAAGGAGGAAATTCAGGTTTAATTCTGCAAGACAGGAAGTTCCTATGTCAGAGGTTTCTATCAAGCAGAAAGCCTTATAGACCCGGTAGAGAATAACGAAGGGGATGGAGAAGCACATTTCATTACTTAAGATGTCCGAGCAGAGCATAGATTCTTCCTCTCAAGATGCAAAGTAGTCCGTTGCCAGTGTGGGCTTGTCTAAAGAGGTTTGCAGACAAATGGGAGGGAGTACTCAAAGAACCATGAGAACCTCCACTATTGCTCAAGGTCCTTCAAAAGAGGTCCTCCTCACAGTTGGTTCATTCAAGCATGCTTACCAGCTTTCCAGGAAAGAGCCCAGATGTTCATTCAGAATGCCATCACCCTCATTTAGAAGGGAGCAATTTGCTCTGTCCCACGATTAGAACAATTTTTCCAGATTTTACTAGCCTCTCTTTTTAGTAAAGAAGACAGAGGATTTAATGCCGGTTTTAGACTTGAAAGATCTCAACAGGCGCATTCACGTTCCTACCTTTCATATGGAATCCCTTCAAATGATAGTACCTACCATCTGTGATCAGGACTGGATGTCTTCGATAGACCTCTCTGACGCACGCATACCTACATATTCCAATCCACCAGAAATACCCCCAAAAAAATTATTCGCAATCCTGGGATTCCACTTCCAGTTTGTGTGTCTCCTGTTTGGCATTTCCATTTTTTGGCATTTGGAGTGCTGGTGACCATTTATTCTGTTTTGCAAGTATTTGGAGGCGCCATCCGCGGCCACTAAAGCCCCCCCCCC